CTGTCTGTCTGTCTGTCTGTCTGTCTGTCTGTCTGTCTGTCTGTCTGTCTGTCTGTCTGTCTGTCTGTCTGTCTGTCTGTCTGTCTGTCTGTCTGTCTGTCTGTCTGTCTGTCTGTCTGTCTGTCTGTCTGTCTGTCTGTCTGTCTGTCTGTCTGTCTGTCTGTCTGTCTGTCTGTCTGTCTGTCTGTCTGTCTGTCTGTCTGTCTGTCTGTCTGTCTGTCTGTCTGTCTGTCTGTCTGTCTGTCTGTCTGTCTGTCTGTCTGTCTGTCTGTCTGTCTGTCTGTCTGTCTGTCTGTCTATCTATCTATCTATCTATCATCCGTCCGTCCGTCCGTCCGTCCGTCTGTCTATCTATCTATCTATCTATCTATCTGTATGTCTGTCTGTCTGTCTATCATCTATCTATCATCTATCTATCTATCTATCTATCTATCTATCTACAGTATACATACATACATACATACATACATACATATATGCAATGAATTCAATATTATTGCAATAAATCAATCAGTATTCCTTTTTTTTGTTTTTTTCTAAACCACTGAAATCAAATATCTCAGGCGTCTAGATCTCACCCTCACCCATTTCAGTTATCTAGCACCCTTATTGATTGGGAAACTCTGGTCTGGAGGCTTTCAAAAAACTAGAGATAATTTATTTCAATGAGAATTTCCCCATCAACCCTTTATCAATTTTATGTAGCTAATATAATCCAAACCTCTTGAGGCTAATGTTTGTTGTGCTCACCAGACCAATTAAAGACACACTCACACGCTCTTATTACACTGCAGCGATTAACCACTATTAAAACCCAGTCCGACAGAAGGACTGCACAATTACAACCAATTATTTTGTCAGTGTTTTTAATGTTGTCCACAAATATCCATGACCTTAACCACTTAACCACCACAACAGATAAATTACAACAATCTGCAGTCTGATCAATTTTAATTTATCTACTGTATTATGCCAAGATCTCTGAAAGTTTTTCCACCTTACAATTCGAGCATTTACTGTCAAGTTCCATTATAAATAAATCATTAATAAGATTGCGGAATAGTCTGAGCATTTAAATAATGAATTTGAGGCATTGTAAAATGGACTCAGTTCAGGATGAAAGGAAAAGACCAGGTTTCTAATAATATGCACTGGTTAAAATTTCACTCTGGTTCTCCTTTCCTTATATGGGACATTTTATGGCCAAACTAGCCTGAGCTTTATTAACTCTTTCCCCGCCATTGACGGACTTTTCCGTCTTTCCGTGTTTTCACTGGTATACGGTAGGATGCACTATTATGCATCTTCTGAAAGAGTATTGAACGTCTGGATCAAAACATGGTGAAGAAGAAGCAGAAACAAGCGATCACGTTTGTAAGCAGATGCATATGTAAAATAACGCAATCATTATTAAACAGCATATAAATCAAAACTGCCTAACGTTACCAAATGAAATAATGCCCCAAATGTTAGGGGCAGTTGTGGCCTAATGGTTAGAGAGTTGGACTTGTAACCCAAAGGTTGCAGGATCAAGTCTCAGTACTTGATCCAAGAAGTGGTATAGGACCGTGGAAGCTTTGTATGTGTTGATGGAAGCGATCTATTCCATCTATGTTGTGATCGCCATTCTGAATCTGATACAAACGTAGAATTTTACAAAAATGCTTGTTGTTCAAAAAATTGCATGGAAGCTACAATAAAAAGTTTTTTTTTGTTTGTTTGTTTTGTTCTTGTTGTTTTTGTTTGTTTGTTTGTTTAAAAGCAGAGGCTCAGTTCTTTGTTTTGACATGTTGCATGTTCTGATATTCATACAGCAAAATATTCTGGGTGCCATTAAATTTGTATGAAAATTATAAAAAAAAAATGCTGGTGGTGGCTAGCTTTTTTAAACTAAAAAACAAGCGAATAAACAAACAAACAAAAAAAAATGGTGGCGGGGAAAGAGTTAAAATGCCAACAGTCTCTTAGAAATCACTGATTTAATGCATTCTGAATTGATGACCAAATAGTAGTAGCAATAGTAGGTAATACGTATTTTATGTAGACCCTACTATTTCTTAAAATTCTTTATTAGGAATAAAAACCATAAGTTTTAAATATAAATTTGATTTCACTTAATTCCAGTTACTTAACATTGCATTTCTCATTCAGAATAACAGAATACAGAACAAAACTAAAACACCAGAAAAACAAAACTGCTCTAAATGTGCATTTTTAACCACATTTTAGATCACACTAAATGAAGCGTGTAAATGCCACCCAGAAGTTCAAGACTAATTTGTGAGTCTTTTTGATATATATATCGTTTCCAACCCATACGACTTTCATCTTTGGATTTTAGTATTCTGTCATATTTTTGTCCATCCTTTAAAAGTCTATGTAATCAGCATTTACAAGCTTCGAAAAAACATAGAAGTAATCCATATAAATCATACAAAGCAATCATGCTTTTTCAAAACACTTGGATTGAATTGCTTGATTCATATGGATACCTTTTAGGACAAAATATATGAAAAATATCTTAATATGTTCCAAAGATGAACAAAGGTCTTAAGAATATGGAATGACATGAGCGTGAGTAAATATTGTCAGAATTTTAATTTTTGGAAGAACTATCCCTTTAATAAACACGTTGATGTTTGAGAATAATAAATGAAATCATATGTCCACCTACCCACACATCTGGGCAGGGCTGCACTCCACACTCTCCGCCCTCCACCCAAGCAAGTGATCTTACTCTCGCCTTCCAAACGGTAGCCCGCAAAACAGGAAAAGACTAGGGAGTCGCCGACCCCAAACTGAAAGCCCACCCTCCTGCTGTATGCGGGTACTCCCGGGTCCTCGCACGGCTCCAAGCTGTACTCTGCAGCACAAAGTCATAATAACTCTTAAACCTCCAGACTGCTTAGCAAAGCATGGGTTAGAGTAAGCACCATGACAACCGTGCCTTCAAGCACACATTAATGAACAGAATGAGTGATGCCCCCACCTGAGAAGGTGATATTGAAGCCCTCGTATGACATGGAGAAGTCCGAGACGAAGCGTAGCTGGACGCTGAAGTTGCCAAACAGGCCTGCTTTGATGGAGGGTGGCAGGACGGAGCCCGTGAGCCTGGCCACCGGCTCGGTGAAGCTGCCGTCCTCGGTAATGAGCAGGTAATCATGGGAGTCCTCCAGGTGGAACGTGTGGAAGAGAAGCTGCACTCCTGGGGAGTTTCAGATGAGATTAGGGCCGTCAGTCACAAGCAAAATCTCTGTTTCAACCTCACAACCCACTGAGAAGCCTTCAGAGGGAACGTAATACTGATCGAAACAGAATCGCATTTGCCCGACATGGTGCTGAGTAATAAAATGTAGAGAATGGGTAATTTCAAAGGGCAAAGAAAGGAATCTCATGGGTACAATCATTGTGCCTCAAACTGTTATCAGTTTCAACAGTATGTGCAGCTCTTGTGGCTGTAACCTGTTCTTTTGTCTTACCTTTCCCATGGGACACTTCTATCGTCCAAGTGCAGTTCAGAGAGTTTGGGTAGAAATCCGGAAAACCAGGGGAAAGAACCGTTCCAGTTTTTCCATAGATATAGCCCCCACACAAAGCTGGAAAAGCAATAGCAGAAATAACTCATGTTTGAATGGCCTGCTTTCCCTGAAAAAGAGTAAATCTAGCCTTGAAGTACATCCTTCATCAATAATTATTTTGCTTCAAGCTTAACTAGATATAGCTGGTGGTGCCAGGGCGTTGCTATGCAGTTGCTAAAAAGTTCTGAGTGGTTTCAGCATTTTACTATATAGTTGCTAGGGTGTTTTGGTTGGTTGCCAGGGTGTTGCAAATTGTTCATTGTTCAAATAATATAATCAACAATGGTTCAAATATAAGTCCAGATGGAGTTGATGGTATCTGGGTCAAACACTTGACAAACAATTATCTAGAACATGTAAAATAGTTCTTACATAAGTAAATATCATAATAAAACTTGCAAAGCTTCCTCTCTTTGTAGTGGAACTACAAGATGATAGATGCAAAACATGGAAATAGAGATGTTTCTACATGAAAAGTAACAGAGTTTAAAGATACACTAACTAATAAGAGGTTGACATTGTATATAGGGAAAATACTTGTAAGAAGATCAAAAGGAGATGTAACAACTGAGACAATTTTCCGACTGGAGAACGTCTGTCAGTAGAGACAGTTAAACAAGAGCTTAAGCACCAGAGCTGTAAGACCGACATCATAACAGAATACTGAATGTGTCCTTGAGCCATGCTCATTGTCCTGCTTTTATCGAAATAAATCATACGGTGCAGGTTATGACAGGACACACTTTTTGAGCCTCAGCATTTTGTCCTTAAACGGCCCATTAAATCTCTTCATCAAATGACAATTCTGGCTTATTAAATCTGAAGTCGGTCTATCCCAAAATTAGCACAACTTTTCATAAGGTAAACTAACCAATTCATACAACATAACTAAAGATAAAAGTTATGCCTTCTTTCTTTGCGTGAACATTTGGGCGGTGTTATGCAAATCTTCCCACACAGTGACGTAGACATGTGGGGGCGTGTTAGAACGAGGCGTTTTAGGAGGGCGTGGACCAGTCTTAACTTTTATAAAGAATATCTCTTTGGTTTGAGACTTTAGTCTTTGCAACTTTAGGGATCTTATCTATTCACAAACAGCTTGTAACACTCCAATAAGAAAGGAAAACTTGAAATCGCATCATATGACCCCTTTAAACTTGGAGGGTTCATGAACAGCTTTACTTAGTTGGCTAAATGTTGCATCACCTAGTTAATATTCATGATATTAAGTTTAATAATCCTAATAACATGTATTTACATTCCGGCAAACAGATGGGGAGTATCTGTCCTGTCTGTAATGAAGGTCAGGATCTGGTGAGAGCCCGTCAAGCTGAATCAAAGTCTGAGCAAACACATGGAGCTGATACGATGCAGGCATAAGAAAGCATTGGGAATTCTGGAAGAGGCAGGCAACAGCCTGATTGGTCTTACTGGAAAACACTTTGTTTACTTCAATCCCTGTAATCGGAAAGCAAATAAGATAAACAGCTTTATAGAGCGCTCTCCTGTAGATATCTGGCTAAGGACTTCCATTATATGTTCCTACTTCCCTGTCCTTTTCCCCCTCCATTTAATGTTATCTATGAAACAGCGCATGCCAGTCACCTCTCCCCTAATCAAAAATGCATGAACTCAAATCTCGGAGGAGTGTTAAGAGGGCTTACCCTTTCACCTCTGATAAAAATGTAATGCAGCCTAGAAGGGTTGGACCAATGCCCTTGGGCCCCAGATTTTCAGTTTTCCCCAAACGAAACACCTGGGTGCTTAAAACATAGAGTGCAAGCTGACACCAGGGTCCAGTTTTTAGGCATCTTTGGGTGGTAGTGAGGAGCTGATTCTCTTGTACATGACCAGAATCGAGAGAGCGCAACATGGCCTACCGTCACAGCTGGGCAGTGCATGGTTCCACTGATGGTTTCTCTCACACACAATGGGTTCATTATCGCTCAGAGTATAGCCTTGATCGCAGCTGAACGTCACTCTGGAGCCGATGGCGAAATTGTTCCCGTGCCTTTTCCCATTCACCGGGATACCTGGATCTAAACAGGAATCTGTTTCCATCATAATACCTGTGTGGAAGGAACAAAACAAACAACAACAACAAAAAAATGAATTTCACCTCCAAGGTCTAAATTGAAAGGAGGATGGTGTCGGAAGCACTTTACACAGTATAAATCAGCAGATACCAGTCCCCAAGTGGTCTCCTTCCTTGAACCAGTACATTTTTATTTCTACTTACCTCTTCTATATTTTGAATACCATTCGGAAAAGCTGACAGCACTGTTTTTCTAAACTGTTTCTCCTCAGAGGCTGACTTCTGAGGAATATTTCCACCTGTTAGTTTCACATGCATTCGGATCTATTTTGTGGCCACTGATAAACCTCTGATAGCCGTCTATAAAGAATGAAAAATGGGAACACTTTGACACGAATGAGTTTCATGTATATCAGTCATAATGGCAGGTAATTTATTGGGAGTCGTGAATATCATTTGAGAATCATCTTGCCTCTTGCCCACATTTCTCATTCTTCCGTCTCTACTGCAGCACATTACATTATAATAAAGATGTTAAATTACTGCTGAAAAAGAGCAACTGGAGACTATTTGTCAAGTCATTTAGTTTTTATAAAGATATCATTTGCATTTTTCAGTTAAGCTCATGGGGGTAAAAAGTGATAACTTTAAATTTTACAAACAAATCTATTTGTATAGCTGCAATAATAAAAAACAAGCAGGCACATGGATATGTGCTAAATTTGTTAATTATAAGTGTTTGGAACAAGGACTGGTGTATTTAACACTCCAATCGACACTGCACATGAGCAGCGGGGTGCAACCAACAAACAAATTAGTAAACTACATAAGGAGCACCCATCTCTTCCATATTATAGGTCCTAGACAGTATTTCTGGTTGACAGTTCTTATAACTGACAGGTGAAACATCACATGTGGGACCAACCAATGTCATAAAAAAAAAATTCAAAAATGGCTGGAAAATAAATAAATACATATCCATTATGTATGCAAAGTCTACAAAAGAAATTATTTAGCATTTTTAAATCTTTTATCTTTATCTCCATATTTTATCTCTATTTTTAAACATAACAACATATAACATAACAATAATGTCAACTATGTCTGTTCATTTGTCAATTTGTAAAGCGCTTAATTTATTAACAGTTCTGTTTTTGAAATAAGAATTTGATCATTGATAATTTGATTTTGTTTGCAGGGAAGATTGATTTCTGTTCCTTTACATCTGTGTGCCTTTGTGCCACGATAAGACATCTCCATTGAACAAACTGATTATAAAAATGCTACAACTTCAGGTTTTACTTTTTCTAGATATTATAAATTATTAATAACATTAATATTACACTTGATTTTTCATTAAATGTATGGGCTTTTAACCCTCTTCTGCACACATTTTGATGGTACATGCTAAAAATGATATCATAAGACAATGCTCAGAGAGCAATATAAAATCACAAATCTTTTTTTTTTTCAAAAATGTCAAGAAATCATTAAATAAAAAGGGAAAAACACTTGAAACACATTGATATATTGGGTTTGATACAGGCATAGGTTTATATCATGTAGAGTGTTGTTTCATCTCATGTACTTCATGTTATAAGATTTCGACTCCCACACCTTATTGGACTGTTCTTTGATACTTTTTGACCATTTCAATTGGTTGCAGTCATTTAAAGAAACATGTACTGAACATGGGGCTTAAGAAAAGAGGGCAACGCTGTGCTGTAGAGGGTTAATAAAACTTGTCTATGCGGTAGAAAGGCTATTTTTATTCATGTATTTATTTATTTAATCAGTGCTACGTGACTAAAGAAAATGGAGAAAAGAGGCTGTGGTGTTCCCTTTTGTCAAAAAAGGTAAGGAAACTTAAACATTCATAATGATCTCTGGGATCAAACCAACTATCCATGAGCGGAGATACAAAAATTGCTGAAGTACGATCTGTAGTTTCCACAAAAGCTGACAAACAATCCGGGAGATCTAGGTGCAGGTAACATGAAGAACACTGTCCATTTACATATGTGACCCTGGACCACAAAACCAGTCATAAGGGCCAATTTTTCGAAATTGAGATTTATACATCATCTGAAAGCTGAATAAATAAGCTGAGATACAACTATTTGAAAATCTGGAATCTGAGAGTGCAAAAAAATCAAAATACTGAGAAAATC